CCCAATTAAAAGATGGGCTAAGGAGCTGAACAGAGAGTTCTCAAAAGAAGAAATAAAGATGGCTAAGAAGCATCTTAAAAAGTGTTCAACATCGTTAGTAATTAGGGAAATGCAAATTAAAACCACTTTAAGATTCCAACTTTCCCCAGTCAGACTGGCTAAGATCAAGAGAACAAATGATACCAAATGTCGGAGAGGATATGGGGAAAGGGGAGTGGTATCCTTAGGTGGACTCTCTGCCTTGTTGCTAGAAGGATAGGAAGTGATCACAAGCAAAGTCCTCACATCTCCACAAACCAGGAGCTGACTCCAGGCCAGAGAGCACCTCTCCTCCCAGCCAGACATGGCCACTACAGGAACTCACAGCCTGTGCTGTTGGTGCCACACAGATTAGTGCTCTGGCTTGCCTCAAGTGATCCACACTGATGCAGGACACCAGGGGTCACATGGACTCTGGCTTCCCCATGTTCTGCAAGCCTACAGGAATCCCCGTGTTTGTTTGGACCAGAGTACCCTGGTACTCTGCTTAGAAAAACAGAATTGTTGGAGGGATGAGGAAAGCCATTCCGCTTGATGGCAGTATTGCACCAGCAATGGCAGGCTAACCTGGCCCCAGCTCCACTCCATCCGCCCTTTGCTGAGCAAAAAACTCCACCTTGCTACTACACTAGATGGCAACCCAGTACCTTTGTCACTGCTGGCCAGAGGTGGGCCTTAGTCCTGGAAGCCACTGTCCCCACTGGGTCCTGATTGCCAATAGACTGTGCCAGTCCTCCCTTAAAAATATTTTACTGCCGGGTGTGGGTGTGGTGGTTCATGCCTTTAATCCCAGCACTTGGGAGGCAGAGGCAGGTGATCTTTGTGAGTTCAAGGCCAGCCTGGTCCACATAGTGAGTTCCAGGCCAGCTGGGGCCACAGGGAGACCCGGTCTCAAAAAGACAAATAAATAAATAAATTTATTACTATTTGTATTTTATGCATATGAACGCATTGCCTGCACTTAAGTAAGTACACCCCATGTTATGTAATTTCCTGCAGAGGTCAGAAGAGGGCATTGGATCAACTAGAATTAGAGTTATAGAGGGTTACCCTCCATGTAGGCTAGGACATGGAGGAAGGGGAACTCTCATTCCCTGGTGGTGGGACTGCAAATTCCTGCAACCTCCATGGAAAACAGTGTGGAGAAGTCTTAAAAAACTAAAAATGAACCTACCGTATGACTCGGCTATACCACTCTTTGGCATATACCTAAAGGACTCATCCTATTGTAGAGACACTTGTACAACCATGTTTGTTGCTGCTCTTTTCACAATAGCTAAGAGATGGAAGCAACCTAAGTCTCAATTGACTAGTGGATAATGAAAATGTGGTTAATTTATACGATGGAGTTTTTATCAGCAGTAAAGAAATACGAAATCATGAAATTTGCAGGTAAATGGATGGAACTAGATACTGTTATACTAAGTGAAGTAACACCGACTTAGAAAAACAATGTATGTTCTCTCTTATATGTGGATCCTAGCACCAAATCCTTTTAAATTCCAGGTCCTTTTAATAAGATGAGGCTACTATACAGCAGTCCCTTCTGCATGAAATAACTACCATCATCACAACTTCAGCTGAGGCTGATCACTAAACATCGTCACAATTGGGCTTGTTAACGGGTGTGCTCATTCATTAAAGGAGGGCCAAGCAGGGTCATTGGACCCTCACCAGAGTATCCAACCACTCTTCCCAGCCAACTGTATGTAATTTGACCCTAATCACACATGGCCTCCTGGATTTGGGGAAGGATAAAGTTTACAATCCGCAGAGAAGGCTAGGAAGAGAAGGCATGACCCATGCTGGGTAAAGGCTTTCCAGTGTG